AACAGTGGGAGGGCTTCTAATGTCCTGGCCCCACTGGTGGACCTCCTGATGGCACTGGTATTTCTGGCCACTGTGTGACACAGAGTGTTGGACTGGATGGGCCTTTGGCTTGATCCAACATTGGCGTCTCTTATGTTCTTAAGTTTCTACTCTATTTTTCATGTTCCGTATAGAGAAATAACACCACTGAGTATCAGGCTGTATTTTGTGGCCATTTTGTACCTTATGCAGAGGTAAAGCCAAATTTGCCTTCTAGCTTGTTTTTCCCAGTTCACCGTATTTTTCTTCCACCCTCCTGGCTTTGTCTATTCTTGAGAGATTCATGATCCACTTTTAAGAACCACTTCGCTAAATCACGTGCCAAACAGAAAAGGTGTACTTTAAGACTATATAACTTATCATCTAGTTATTAGTGTACATTATTTTCAGGCCAGGTCTTTGGGGTTGCATTCTGCAGTTTTGGGGTTGCATTCTGCAGTGCCTGCTTAGTTATAGTTTGGAATTGTTTGGAAACACTTTATTAATAACATGGCTGTAGCCTGTCTGCAACTATAATTTGCCTACCAAGCATATGCTAGTGACTTTATCAGGACTGAACACTACTGATGATCAGGAAGAAATAAATTGTAACTGGAATTGTAGGATAAAAAGATAAGGTGACATTCATGTGACCATGAGAATATAGGTCAATTTCTTTTGCCATGTATATAGTTTAGAAAATGTTTAAAAATGCCCCTTCAGCTTTTTTTAGGGTAACTATTTTGGAGCTGGGTAGGAGGGATATACTTTAGATTGTGACCCAAAATAATTTGTGATTATGTAAGGGTAGCTAAGCAGTAATCCTATTTAGAAGAGGAATTACGGGGATGCATTGTTGAGTTGTCCGTCCCATCCAGTGTTCCCTCTAAACTGAGTTAGTGTGAACTCGCTCACAGTTTTTTAGCCTCTGGCTCACACAATTTTGTCTTAGATCAGGAAAAATGGCTCCAGAGCAAACTAATTTATGCAGTAGCCAAACCGCTCGCTCACAATTTTAATGCCAGTAGCTCACAAAGTAGAATTTTTGCTCACAAGACTCCACAGCTTAGAGGAAGCATTGGTCCCCCCCCCCCCATCTCCTCCTCTAAATCCTCCTGATAGTGATACACACACACCCAATTCCCAGGGAATGCAATAATAGGAAAGCACTACCTGTGAAATGTCTGCATGCTCTGCAACTATTAAAGATAGATCAAGATGGGTAGCCATATTAGTCTGTCTATAGCAGTAGGGAAGAGCAAGAGGTCAGAGTTCTAACTGTATCTGAAGAAGTGAGCAGTGACTCACACCCTGCCCTATATTTTGTAAGTTTTTAAGGTGCTACTGGACTCTTGCTGTTTTCTGCTGTTAAAGACAGGGAAGCGATACCGCGGAGGCGGTGAGAGACCCTATTTATAGGACAATAAGGTAATACCCACAATGAACAAACTTCGTTTGAAGCAGTAGCAGAGCAAATGGTTAATGCCTTTGTGCTTTAGCATGTGGGGGTCATAGCTCCAGAAGAGTAACTTGTAATCCTTACTGTGAGGTAGATGACAAGTCTAGGATTACTGCTAGGAGGAAACGGCTCGAATGCATTGAGAGGAGTTAGCCGCCCAGTAACGTGCACAGCCCTTGCCACTGAGGTTACTATTAAAATTTGACGCACAAACGGTGAACATCAAAATGTGTTCGCGGTTTAAGTGAAGAGCAACGGTGAACATCAAAATGTGTTCGCGGTTTTTTAAGTGAAGAGCCGTCGGACACAGAATGAAGGCTATTCGGAGAAAGGCAGGAAGGTGCGCCAAAATCCCAATGTGGCGTTACAGCACAATCCTGAATAGTTTAAGCATAAGTAATTGCCTACTAACAACATTTAGGAGTGCGGTAATGAAAGAAGGAGAAACGTAAGGTCCTTATTTCTATGACAAAAGACGTGAGAAGACTTCAGCCGCAAGAAGCAGGAGCCAGGGGAAATGGCGCCGCGCCAGTCTATCTGTTTTGCCGCCGCCGCCGTGTTTACAACACGATGCCTGTGAGCACCAGCCTCTTTCCCCCTCGAGCTAATTAGAATCGAGGTAGGGGTGGAACTTGAAGGCTTTTTCTAAGGTTTCGGAGTAGGAGAGGTCAGATCAGCGAGTGTGACCAATCCGGGGACACTGGAGTCTGTGCATCTGGTGATTTGATTGGTTTGCACGAAGTGCGTCAGCGACTGGATAGCCTTGGTCCAATGAGGTGCCTCTCTTTGAAGGCAGAGTGGGAGGGAAGTGTTGCTGTAGTAACGCAGGTGAAGGTGAGAAACCAATGGGGAATAAAGGGGGAGGGGGATGTTTAGGACTCGGGTCGCCTCGCCTCAGTGCAGGGGTGGGAGGGAGATGAATCTCCCTGGGGGTTCGTCTTGGGGAAGTGTTGAGCAAACAAAGTATATGTATGTGTTTGTATGAGAGACAGTGTGCCGTACCATTGAGAGCAGGAGGCTGCCAGAGGGGAAAGCATACCCTAAGGAAGCAAATTACTCTAATTGCCTCTTCTAACCTAGAGTTTTCAATCGTGTCTTCCTTTCCCTGGGGTGCCTCTCATCTCTAGGATTGTCTTTCCTTGGATCTTAAACTGGACATGATTCATACTGGAGGGTCTGCCTTTTGCAAAGATGTGGATGTTTCCCTTGAGTCTGAATGACAGGCTTTCCCCCCTTCCTCCTAAACTGTTCTGCATATATTTGTGGAGAGCTGAGGACTGAAATGGTATTCAAATATTGTACTAAAATGGGTTTTTCCTCCCCAGTTAACAGTCAGATGAAAATTATTGTGCATTTTTGAAGGGCATTTTAGAAATGGAAGCTCTCATAGTTGCTTAATTCTGTGGATGCCCCCTTTATATACATATTCAGTGCACCAAATCACAACATACTGTATATTATTCTATAATTTTGTATGCACTTGCTGTGTTAACAAGATAGTAATACATGAATAGCATTATTACTAAAAGGCATTTACCACTTTGGTTTTTCTGAGATGATGCCAATTTTTTAAACTTCCAACATTGTTCAAAGCCTATAATTTTTTGTTTTTAAGCATGTGTGTTAGCTGTGGAGCCTGGTAGGTTGAGAAATAAATTGCCTGTTGTTAACCTAAGGATAAACCTTACAGATGTACTTTTCTTTTTTTCTTTCTTGTGTGGGTCTCTAAATATATTTAGCAGCCAAATACCACACAATGGAAGAACGTTCAAATCTCATGAACATGATGAAGCTGAGCATTAAAGTCTTAATCCAATCAGCTCTAAGTTTGGGTAGGACTTTGGATTCTGACTTCCCTCCTCTGCAACAGTTTTTTGTGGTGATGGAGCACTGCCTCAAGCATGGACTTAAAGGTGAGCTTTCCTTTTCCTACCTCTAAAATCAATATTGGTTTTTCTTGGGTGTAGCTTCAAATATTAAAATGTTCACCGTAGTTTCTGTCTCCCACTAAAGGGAGTGCTTAAGTACATCTTTCAGGAGTTTCAGTAACTGTTCCATAAGAACATACTTAAGGGACATTAAAGGTGAAGAGAAAATGGATTATGTATTAGTCTGATATGGTCCCTTTCTGCTGAAGTAAAACGTGTTAATATATTTGTTCACTGGATCATCTGTTTGTGTGGATGTAGTTCCGGAATGCTGTGAGACAGAACAGAGCAAAGTTCAAAAGCATTGTGGCATTATCATGAGACAGTGTCTTTGCTACATGTGATGCAGCTGTCTTCCTGTTTGTTTGAATGTAGGTATTACTGGACAGATAATGGAAGCGAGCTATTTCTAAACTGGGTGATCATTCTAGCCATAGTAGGTTTTATAAAAATATTTCAAAATAATTTTTAATTGTGGGAGAGATAGGAAAATGGTTTGTGAACAAATTAAATAAGTAGAAGTGTTTGCCTTTGTTCAGTAAACTAACTTTAAATAAATATTATTCTCTTTTCTTCTCCCTTTCCCCATTTCATTAAAACCCAGCTAAGAAAAGTTTTATTGGGCAGCATAAATCATTCTTTGGACCTTTGGAACTGGTGGAGAAACTTTGTCCAGAAGCATCAGATTTAGCAACAAGTGTCAGAAATCTGCCAGAATTAAAGTAAGTTGGAGCGAATAGATTGTTGAAAGGAACAGGATTCCAAGACCTTACATTATTTCCATACCTGTATGATATTTTGTAGGGTACTGGTTGGATTAACAAAATCACTTAATTAACAGGAGACAGTCAAGTGCTAGTGGAAAGTATTCAAGCAGGACATGAGGAAAGTGCCCTGTTTACCTAATTTCTGGTAGTGATTATTACATGAAGGTTCCATTCCTCAATGTCATATCTAATTAAAAAACATTATCCACTTTTTTAGCACTAGGGGACTGCCACGTTGTGTACATAACTCAAAACAAATAAGATTTGAGACCTGTTGGGTTTTTTTTAAAAAAAACTGTGTTTAAACTCTTAATATGGTAGATACAATTTCATAAAATTTCAAGTATAAGATTTCTATGTTGCATTGCAATCCAAGTATTAAAGTACAAAATCCTCATTTGGGTATAGTTAATAGCATAGGTGCACACCATATTTTGGTATAATTGCTTTTCTGTTGTTGTTGTTGTTGTTTCTTCTCTTTTTGTCAGCTGAACAAGCCCCACAAAACCTTCCAGAGTAATTATATCCTGCCCTACCTGCTGTATAGTTGTCTTTACAAACCAGGAAGGCTTACACAATGAAGGTTTTGTGGTGGCTCATCTTAGAACCTCAAAACTAATTCCTTAAATGTAAATTGTTTTAATAAAATAGCCCTAATAAAATCCACAGCGTTTCCAAAAATCAGCTCATCATGTCATTGCCATAAGTTGCGTGTAAAGTGTGGCATACTCTCTCCACAATATGAACAATTTTTGTTAGGAGATAAGCTTCTCCTAAAAAGATGTTAGGGTATTCAATATACTTTATAAACAAACTTATACTATAGTATTCTTAATTTAAAACTCTTCCTCAATTATCAGTGAATTATGAGATCTGTTGTTCATTTAATGATGTGGGGTGCATCTATCAGAATCAGTATTGAAACTCTGGAAGTAAAAAAAATGGCTCAGGGTACAGTGTGAAGGTATGTGAAAGGCAAGGGTCCTCAACTATGGTGGGTCTGAGGGAATTTTTGGAATTTTGAGGAAGGGTAATGGTGCTATCACAAACTGGCTAGCAATTAGTCTGAGCCAAGCATTCTATGATGGAGCACCTATTTCTGAATGGGGCCCAAGTTAGGGCCTTCAGTGGATTTAGACTGGAGTAGCTCTGCGTAGGATTGCACTGATGGGAAATACAGAAGAGTGGGGCTAGAAATGTAATAAAGAATAAAATATTTGATGTAAAATTTTCTGAAAGATAGCAAGCAATCCTGCTCTTTCAGTCTCTGTTTCTGAAGCTGGATGCTAGGATAAAGGTCCCAATGAACTCAGAAGGATTTACATTGTTTACATTGTAAACAAGTTTAGAAATGGACTGCCTACTTCCTGCACATGTGATTTCCCTGCAAGAAATTATGTATCCTTTACAGAATATGTAACAAATAACTTTCATTTGTAATAGTGTACTACAATTAGGGTTGCCAGGCCCATGTCTGGTAGTCTATGAGATTTTGAGGGCAGGGAATAGACAGGGGAAGCATCACATGACATTCTAGGAATTGTCCCAATCTCTATAGAGATTGGAGAAATTCCTAGAGTGTCACGGATATACTGACTGGAAATGACATACCTGTGTTCATGTCATTCTCCTGCTGCAAGAGTGGGTTGAGTGGCAGAGAGCCAGCTGGGGTTGTGGGTAACCTTGCAAGCCTAATTACAATACTATATTAATTGGTGATTAAACAGTTTTTCAGTTACACGTGAGGCAATGTTTTAAAAAATTACAGGCCTAAATATGTAACTTTTCTGTACTGTCTCTAGAAAGTGTACTGTATTCTGAACTGTCAAATATAATATGCTACATAACAGGTATGATTGATGTTGGCTGGTGTTTTTGTAGGACTCCAATAGGAAGAGGCAGAGCTTGGCTTTATCTTGCTGTCATGCAAAAGAAACTAGCAGACTACCTTAAAGTTCTCTTGGACCACAAGAATCTGTTGAGGTATTTTAATTTTTTTAAATTTCAAAATGACATTGTTCATTATACAGGAAGGGAAGTGTTTAAAGTAAATGTTTCTGAATAGTGGATAAGGGGATTGACTTGGATATAGCCTTTAATAAACCATTCTTGCATGACTTTTCTGCTGTGGTAGGTGTTGAAGCACACAGATTTACTTCTTACATTTTTGTTTCATTTTTTTTTCCTTAGTGAATTTTATGAGTCTGATGCCTTGATGATGGAAGAAGAAGGAGCAGTGATTGTAGGTCTTCTGGTGGGGCTAAATGTCATTGATGCAAACCTCTGTTTAAAAGGAGAAGATCTCGATTCCCAGGTGAAAACCACCCCTTAAATTAAGTAATGCTTCTAATTTGCATTCCAGTTAAACCAAAATAATGTTACTTACTGAATTGTTGATCCAAATATCTTATACTTACACTGTGGTGAATAATATGTTGTGTTTTAGAGTGCACAGTGTTTCACACACATTGCACTGAGTCCTACAGATGTGTTCTGCTAATAGTGGCTTTTCTTCAGAGCAAGGAAGCTTCTTCTGCTACAAGGAGTGATGACAATCGGTAGAACGGTTTGCATCACAGAGAAAGCTTCATGGTGGTATTTGTTTAAAGCTGTCATCATGTGATAGGCTCTCTGTGCTTAAAAAAACAACCTGGAATAGTATATTCCCAGAAATATGGATATGTTGTTAGACCAGACCAGCCTTCTGGGCAGAAGTTGTTGTTCCCATTCCTTCCTATGGTCTGTAGATTTTTATGACCCTTGGTTAAATTCAATCAGTAGGTGTCCTTTAAAAAAAAAAATAGGTAAAAATCATTAGGTTTCCTGACTCTTCTTTAGGCGGGCACTGAATGTGTGAAGAACTGCTTTCTTTGTTCTGTCTGTCTCACTTTATGGGCTTAACCGTCTTCAGTAACAGTTGCTATGGATTGCGCAGATCCATTAATGGCTTTGGGTGTGATCCATCTAGACTCAATCTAAGGAATTTTCTGTGGCAATCTAATATAGCGTTGGGCTTTAATTATATTATTCCACACACTCATGCAAACCTTTTATTAACATGCAAAGGTATAAGAAAATAACCTACAGCTAACCTTGTCAGGGTTCTTCCTAAAATGTTATTTACATCATTGAATTAAAGAAGTAGTAGTAAATTTAATCTTGTCTTTTCAGGTTGCGGTGATTGATTTCTCCCTGTACCTTAAAGATACACAAAACATTGATGATGGCAAACAGTATGTATAGTTTATCTTCCATTCTTAACAATTGTTCAGTAGAAAACGTTTGAAGTATAGGAATGAGCACTGTTAGTTTTAGAGCTTTCTCTATCTCCTTTTGGCAAGGGGAACATGAAATCTAAAATGGATTTTGGTAAACAAATAGGAGGACAAAGTCAGTCGTGTGTGTGTGTGGAGAGTTGTATGTGCCAGTTTTGAGGGCCAGACACCATGTCCCTAGAACTTCAAGAATCAAACTTCCTCAGTCACTCTCACATTTCCCTTCTTTTTTTCTGAGCGGACCCGATGTTAGAGTTTAAACATGCAGAGGAACGGAGCACCAACTGTTTAAAGAAAATAACTTGGTTTATTTAAAAAGAAATAAACTCTGGTAGAACAGAGAAGAGGGAGAGAGGCTTAGAGATGTGAAGGCCCGGGAAAAAAACCTGGAAAAATTCGGGGGGGAATCGGGTTTCCCCCCATTTTTTCCTGAAGTCTTTTTATTTTTTCCGAAAAATTGAAAAAAGAAAAACAAATGATTATGGAACGTTTTATTTTAACATGATGAATAAAATATTTTAAGACAAGGTGTTCAAATATTTTCCAAATCATTTCTAAAAAATATGTATGGTATCAGATTGATCTAATTTTTGTACACTGAGGACAAGCAAGTCCTAGGTTACAAACTGAACTCTCCAATGCAAGAACAAGATGCATTTCTTCCTTTAGGAGGTGCTATTGTCACAAGAAAAGAAAAAGGTTTCAGTTTTGTTTTTGCATGTGGGTGGGTGTTTATCTGGTTCTCATCTTGTTGACACCACATTTGTTCCATATATGGGAAGCGCATGTGCCACCTCATAATGTATGTAGCTTATTGGTTGAAAACCTTTGCATACTCTAAATGCAGAATTTCAAAGGACCAGCACTTCTGAAGGGGAAAAATTATTTTTGTTTTTTAAAATCAGAGATGGAGGAATGACTGCTGTGCTTGATCAGAAACATTACGTGGAAGAACTTAACCGCCATCTAAGGTAGGATTTGTTTTATTGTTTTCTTGCTTTGTAAAGACCAAAATTCAGCTCTGGCAGCTTGATCAACATAAAGGATGCTATGAGGGAACTGCCAGTTTTCCTTCTGTAGACTAAGCCTTGCCCTCCGTCACCCAGTTCTGCCAGCCTGGTACCTTCCCCTCAGTTCTGTCTCTATTTTTCTGCTTGTAATCTAGTGCTGCTGTTTTGCATCCAATCACATCTTTCAAAAATCTAGTTGAAACTGTTTTTCATATTTCACTTGGGGAAAAATAAACTTTATTCTGATAGCTTTTAAATATATTTAATTTCAGGCAAAATAATTTCAGGCAAAATACCAGAAGCCTGACTTGTATGATAGATACAGTATTGGTGACAGGTTAAAAAACTAGTCAGCTTTGTATCAAGTGGGGACCAGGAAACACCCTGGCAGAATGCCAAATGATACAAACATAAGCAAAGTCTTGGAGGACCAGACCAAGAATCTATAAAGAATCCACAGTCAGTGGCTGACCAGATATCCAGAAGGGTCACAGAGGCCAAAACACCCCCTTCCCAGTTGCTAGCATTCAAAGGAAATTCTTCCTCCTAATGTGGAAGTTCAACTCATACATCATGGCTATTCACCACTGAAAGACCTCCCCCCCCCCATAAGTGTGTTTAAGAGGTTTTAAAGCTTCCTAAACTAATGACCATCACTACAATCTGGAGCATTTGAATTCCACAAGTTAATTATGCAATGCTTGAATAAATACTTTTTTTTGTCTTTCCTGAGTCTGCTGCCCATCACCTTCATGGGTACACCCAAGTTTTTGTTTTTGGGAGGAGAAGTAGTTCTCTCTATCCACTTTATACACATCACGTGTAATTTAGAAATCTCTAGCATGACCCCCCCTTTGTTGCCTTTTATTGAAACTGAAAACCCCCAAAGCCTTTAGCCTTTCCTTATAAGGAAGGTGTTCCACTCTCTTGATCATATTGGTTAGCCTTTTCTTCTTTTCCATCTCTACAGTATCATTTTTGAGATGGGATACCCTCAACTGTGAGGCAGCATAGATTTATATAGGGGCTTGGTTTCTGCTAACTAGGTTTTCTGTCAGCAAAATGTGACTTCTTTGCCCACCTGCCCCCACGCAGGCAGCTTAAAATGCTCCACCAAATGCTGCTCCTTGAGGACAATGAACCTCCAGGAACGACATAGGGGACTGGACGTCTATAGTGAGGGGCAATCAGTGAACATTACCCCTTCTTGTCAGCAGAAATCCTCTGCATGAGCTAGTGCAGGGGCATTATGACACCGGCCTAGCATAGAATTTGCTGTTTTTACCTCTCACACGGAGTCAGCACTTTCATTGACTTATTCGTGATAAAGTTAGGACTTTTGCCCCAAAGTGTATTGCTTTGTTTTTTGAACTTCATTGGCTACATTGTAGCCAATTCACCCAGTCTGATGAGATCCTCTGGCAGCTCCTCAACATCTGCTTTGGTTTTCACCTGGTTGGATCCAATGGATAAGCTTGTGGAATGAGCTGGCAGAAGGAGGAGGAAGGAAGCCATGTAACTGATTCCCTCTCATCACTGCGGTGCCCTGTAATGTGGTGCATGTTGTGTGTTAGGCTCTCCCATCCCTCAGACAGGACTTGGGATAAACAGAAGTCTGCACAGGAAAAGTAGGGAAGATCTACTCTTCCAGCTCCTTGTGCAAGCTGGATCCAGCGTATCATAGGCAGTAATCTGGTGTCATCCACAAACTTGGCTGCAGTACTGCATCCACATAATGTATGATGATTTTTTAAAAAAAAAAAAAACAGTTAAAGTTGTGAGAACTCTACTGTGAGAACTCTGTTGTGAGACCTGTGAAATGGTGGTAGTTCTGCAAATGCTGTGGGTTAGATGCACTGGGAATTCAGTGGAGCTGGCAGCCTAAAGATCTGTTCATGTGACCTGCAGTCAATTCAGGTTTATATGACCAAGCTATAAGTGATATCCAAAATAAGATTTCTATATTGTCGTCTTGCAGTCTGGCTATAAGGTAAAATAATGGAATTGAGCCTACCCTTAAAGTGAAGAGTCAGGATATATTTACAATCCCTACCTAAGGGACCTTTTCTCTTGATGACGGATCATGGATATATTGGCTTAGCTGCTCTGATGCGACAGAGATCCTTTTCATTCTTGGCCCTTATATGGGGAATCCTTGGAGTTCTGAAATCTATGAGCAGTCTATATGTATACTATATATACATAGTGAAGAGGAAAAGCACTCTAAAAATATTTAAAGTGATGCACAATGTACTGCTCTAGTGCCACCTCATACCAAAAGATATAACATTTCTAAATTTTAACCTAAGTGTTTTCATAAATGGTCAGCAACATTTTAAAAGGATATTTTGTTTGCATTATTATATGCTTACATTACCCTGGGCTTTCAAATGCAGATTGCTTGAGGCCAGGTTTGTTAGGATACACTGGCTCTCTGCATACTACTTATAGGAATGCTCACATTCAAACATAAAAAAATATGAATCATCCAGAAAATACCTTGATATATACTCCTCAGAAATGTAATGCATAAATACTCCAAGGGCTGTGGTATGTATGCCACTGTGGATCACCTCAGAAATTGTGAAAACTGGGCGGGGGAAACCCTGATGACTGCTTTGATTTTCAGTGTAAGTGGTTGGTGTTAAACAGTTATTGGTAATCTTTTGTTGCAGTTGTACTGTGGGAGACCTTCAGACCAAGATAGAATGTTTAGAAAAAACCAATTCAAAGCTCCAAGAAGAGGTGTGTGGTGATCTAGTCTTCTTTCTTCCTCAGCTGTTTCCATTATTGTCAAGTAGTTCTGACAAGACTCTGAGCAGAACAAATTTATGGGGGGGAGGGAGGCCAAATAATTCCCCTGCTCTAGTATGCAACCTACAAATTACATATGGAAATTGAGCTTTCATCAGGGTAGAAAAAGCGAGAGGTTCTGTTTCTTCTGCTTTCTTTCTGACTGAAAGTGTATCCAGCCATTTATGGGCTTTGTAGAGTGGAACTTGCCCACTTATGTCTTGTGCTTTAGTCCACCAAGCCCCCCCTCCCACCCCCGTTTTGCTCCTGGGGAGCAGCAGCATCCCAGCAACAGCATTGGGAGTACAGTGGAAATCTTAAGTGGAAAAGGGGATTCGGTGGGAATTACTGTTCAGTGTTCCAAATTCTTAAGTTCCATTAAGTCTGCAGAACAGCCTGGTTGGATACGTGCCAGTGTTTTTTGATGTAAAAGTATAATGTGGTAGAAAGTGTCAGTACTGGTAATAAGAGTATAATCAAGTATGTCTGTCTTAACAGCTGAATTGTTAAGTATGATCTTGCCAGGACTTGCCTCAATCGAACAGTAGATATTTAAGTTCATCCAAATGGGCACAAGGCTGTTTCTATCATTGTCATCTTCCCTTCTCTCTCTCTCTCTCTGCCCCTCTTGCCAGCTGGCCGCAGCAACAGACCGGATTGAGGCACTTCAGGAAGAACAGCAGGAGCTGAAGCAGGAAAATGAATTAATCCGTGAACAAAGTGAAAAGTATTTTGAGGTCAGTTACCGTATGTTCCTGACAGGCATGGGGAATGTAGTGTAGTGGTTAGAGTGTCAGGCTAGGATCTGGAAGGCCAGAGTTCAAATCCGCAGTCTTCCATGGAGGCTTGCTGGGTGATCTCGGGCCAGTCACACACACTCAGCCTAAGCTACCTCACAGAGTCGCTGTGAGAATAAAAGGGAGGAAAGGAGAACAATGTAAGTTGCTTGGCATCCTCATCAGGAAGAAAGGCAGGGGATAAATGAAGCAAAAGATTTAGGAATCATAGCTTATCTTTTTTTAAAAAAACAGCTAACTTCTTGCTCTTGAGGAAAGAGGCCTGAATGCACACAAAACATTCATTTAAAATGTTGCTGATCATTTATGAAAGCACTGAGGTTAAAATTTAGTAATGTTATTTCTTTTGGTATGAGGTGGTGTTAGTACAGTACATTGTGCATCACTTTAAATATTTTTAGAGTGCTTTTCCTCTTCACTATGTACAGACCTATCTTTCTTTTTTAAAGACAGTTTGTTACTAGTAAGGGGTGTGTAGGGTTTTTTTAATCGGTATTTTTCAGTTTGGGTCTATTAGACCCGGGGGGAAATTGGGATTTCTGAAAAATCCCAGATCACAATACCGGTAATCGTATTCTGATCCAGGATTTTTTCCAGAAATCCCAATTTTTTTCAGGTCCAGTAGACCCAAGAAGGAAAAAATGGGAAGGGGAGGAAGTAGCGGTAGAGCCACAAAAAACAACATACAGGTGGAGCAGATTGCTCCCCCATCAGCTGTTTTTTCGGGCTTTCTACTGCATTCACTTTAAAAGGGGGCATTTAAAGGGACTGCAGAAGACAGCCCAACAAACAGCTGACCCAAGGGGAGTAGCCTTCCCATGCAGGCCCATTTAAACAAGACTGCACGGGAAGCCAGCCCTAAGGTCAGCTGTGCCAATGGGAAGCAGAGCACTTCCTGCCAGGCCAGCTTTGGGCTGGCTTCTCGCGCGACTTCGTTTAAACGAGGTTGCATGAGAAGCCAGTCAGTCCAAAGCTGAACCCGCTGGGAACACTCTGCTTCTTGCTGGCTCAGCGGTAGAACTGCAGTAGAAAGCCTGCCAAACAGCTGAGAGGCAGGAGCAATCTGTTCTAGCCTCTCCGCTGTTTTTCATATCTACTCTGAATATATCTGGGATTTTTTTCAGGAATCTTTTCCTGGTTTTCCTGAAAAATCCCAGTTACCTTTGGGATGCCAAAATATACTTGGAAAATACTGTTAAGGTATTTTACGGGTATATTTTTAGCTCGGGGAGAGCTGAATGCACACCCCTAGTTAGTAGTACACAGTACATTTCAATATTTTGCATGGTACAAGTCTGCAGATATTGCCATACCACTTGATGTACATATGGAGGTCCCACAGGAGAGGATTTCCCCATTCACTTCAATGGATAGGACAACTTGTACACCAAGCTGAGCTTTTCTCACTAAAGTGAACAGATCAGGGTAATCGAATTTTTAAAAGAAAGAAAAAAAATGACTACAATTGCAGGAATTGGAATTTCTATTATGCATTTTGAATCATGTTATTTTCTTGTCCTTAACCGTGGGAGAATATTGTCCGTGTAGGTGTCAAATTATTTTTAATGGAGCATAAAGGCTCTTGTTAAACAGCATGGGCTGGACCCATTGATCCACTCACACAGATATGGTGGACATCCTTCACTATTTGTTGGGGGACACTTGGAGCTGCTGCAGGAGGGAAGGAAGAAAGAAAGTTGTGCTTTGTGAGAGGAAATCTGTCCGTGGAAATGCTCCACCAATTCCAATCTCTTATGTGGAAGTACCTCCACTCCAGTCAACTTGCTTAGCAGATTTCTCAAACCACTTTTTGTTCTAGGTAACTAAGCAGGACACCAAAGTTGAGCTGGAAACATATAAGCAGACACGTCAAGGCCTGGACGAAATGTACAGTGATGTCTGGAAACAACTGAAAGAGGAGAAAAGAATCCGAACGGTGAAATACCTGTATAGTTTTGACTGAAGGGCAAACAAGGGATGGTGTGTTCAGTTTCAGTATTCCAGGTGTTGTAAACTGTGGGCCGTGATTTGCTTAACTCAGAGGTGGGGAGAAGGAAAAAGATGCACGTGTGTGGCATAAAGCTTAAATACGAAATACCCAGGACAGGTCTGAACATTAGTCAGTGTGGTATGATGTATCTGGATTCAGGTTCCTGATTAGCCATTACGTTATCTTGGTGACACTGGGGCAGTCTCTCTCAACCCAGCTCCAAATCTAATCTTCCTCACCGGGAAAGCCCTTAAGAATGCCAGCTCTTCACATAGGGGCACAACATTCAAAAGCTTCTTGCACCGCACTACTGTCAGGAGTATACAGTGCTGGTAGTTAGAATTGTACTTGGTAGTTAGAATTGCACTTGCGCATAGAATCAGTACAAGAAAGGGCTTTTAGAAGAGCTCGAAAGACCTGTTTCTCTTTCCTCATCCCCCCCCCCCCCAACCAAAACAAAACCCCTCACACACCAGATTCTTGGAAGAGCACTCTGAGCCCAGCTCAGCGAGTCAGCGGGACCACCAAGAAGGTGGCTTGGTTTCTTTCCCTGTATCTAACCTGTATCCGTCTCAGATTACGCTAAAGTCCACTGCAGCTTGGGAAAGAAATCCACTAGGAAGGGGAGGTGATCAGGGGAGGGGTGGGTAGCTCAGCCACCATGGCTTAGATTCAGTGACATTGTTCCCCTCACACTTCTCTCCACCTCCTGGAGAGGCTTTCCTCCACTGAGACCCTTGTTTCCTCCACCACTAGCATTCCACATGTGTAGGAGCTACTTGAAAAACATTGATCTTGCGTACACGGAAGTGCTAGGGGCAACAAAAGTGAATGCCACAGCAGAGGGAGAGCCTCTGCAGTGGCTAGAAAGAACAAAGAGGGGAACGATGTTGTGGGATCCAGGCTGTATCATTAATACATGAGATAGGAACTCTCTGGGGCCTTCTAAATATTGATTGGTATGTGTGACAAGAAGCAGGACATGGAATGTATAGGTAAATATTAGCTTACTTAAGCAAGCCTATAAATGGAATTAGAATGATCTCCTAGTGGAGTGGGAGAATATATTTTGTGGATACATCTCTCCTGTTCAGGATTCAGAGAGCACTGTGCATGCCCTCATGAATGCCATTGTGGAGCAGGGCAGCCTGAGATCCTGTTCAGGATTCAGAGAGCACTGTGCGTGCCCTCATGAATGCCTTTTATAGGGTCATTGTGGAGCAGGGCAGCCTGAAATGTTCAGTGTGCATGAAGAAGCAATCCTGTGGGTTTTGGATGCTGTCCATTATAGTTCAGTTTATGAAATCTTTCCTTTTATCCAGTAAAAGCTCTGATATGTTGCTATTGAGCAGTGAATGGTTGTTAATCACATATCATCCAATAGACAGAGTAAAGTTCTTTTTGGATCCCTGTCAGTGAGTAGATAGCTGACTAGGTCATAAGAATATACATTCAGACTGAATGGGCAAGCACAGTGAAATATAATGCCTCCTGAGATTAGCATACAAAGGGCACTCCAAAAAAATATGTGCAATCATATCATTCTTTCAAAATTTCCCTAAGGGACAGGGACAGATTCATTCTGGATAAGATTAACGTATGAACCTTCCCCTCATAACCAATGCTCCCTCTAAGCTGTGGAGTCTTGTGAGCAAAAATTCTACTTTGTGAGTTACTGGCATTAAAGTTGTGAGTGATTTGGCTACTACATAAATTAGTTTGCTCTGGAGCCATCCTTTCTGAGCTAAGACAAAAATGTGTAAGCCAGAGGCTAAAAAACTGAGCTAACTCACACTAACTCAGCTTAGAGGGAACACTGCTCATAACTGTTGAAGTGTGGGCATTTAGTCTGTCCAGGAAGAATGCTCTTAAAAAGCTTTGGGAAGACAACAGATAGGTTTAGGAAGGAAGAGAATTTGGGGGGGGGGGGAATACCAAAAATTGGGGTGAACAGGTACAGCATGCTCTAAAAGCAGAGCTTTGGTGATCAATTAATCTTATATGATTTCTCACGAAAGCAAATGCTGCAGGTTTACACTGAGAGCTAGGAGTTTCTCAAACACAATCTTAAAACATTGTTAACCTATAAGGGTCCTCTTTCAGGACTGTTAAAATATGACTTAATGATCAATCTAAATGCTTGTAACCAAGCCCTTGTTCTGAACAAAAAAGTTGAACAAAAGTAGGGCCAAAAGGCAGCCCTGCCTAACCCCTTTATTGAGGTTAATTGACTCCATCAGCTCATCACCATAACTGCAGCGGACCTGAGCTGTAAAGTCTGCACCAAGTTGCTGCATGAGCCACCGCAGCCTTTTATCAATTGCGTGTCACAGCTTTTCCCCAAGTCTTGTCCCGGGGATGGTGTCCAAAGTCCCTTTCAGATCGATAAATCCTACATAAAGGGAGCCATTTGGGAAATGAGTGTGGTTTTTCTATCAGGTAGTATAAAACTAGGCATTGGTCCAAAGTTGAACTACCTCTCCTAAACCCCATCTGCTCCTGGCCTAGAGTATAACTTTGTTCAAGCCAATCAGTTAATGCATCTAGCAAATATGAAGAATATAGTTTGCCCAAACACAGTATTAAGCTAATTGAATGGTAGTAGCCTGGATCCAAACGTTGATCTTTCTTAAAGATCAGAACTATTATTCTGTGCCTTCAAAGTTTTGGGATGACCCCAGTCATGTTTATTTGTGAAGACAGTGGAGTGAGGATCTCTGTCCACTAATAGGGATTTAATTTGAATAATTCATTTGGGATAAGGTCTGCTCCAGAGGCCTTTCCTGAACAGAGGTGATGGATCAAGCCTTCAACTTGAAAAGGGGTCACCTCAGGCCAGTCTGGAAGAGGGCCATCAGGTTCAAGTATCTCAGGAGTATAAAGTTCCCTAGGAATAGCAAACAGGCTTTTTTAAAGGATGAGCCCCAGACTTCTGATTGAATGGAACATGGAATACTGCCATGCATTCTAGTGCCCATATTGGTAATTGCCCAGAATGCTGAGTTGTTGTTGATTTTTATGGCCAAAATTAAGCACCCCCAGTTCCTACATAGGAATTTATGAAATCCGTTACATAATGTGTACAAAAATTCAACTTGCACGTGTGATCTAACATATGGCTGAAGTCTTGCATAGCTTAGCAGAAATGTTTTAATGTTGTGCTTTGCACTGTAATTTTTAAGGAACTGGAAAAAGAGCTGGAGTTGCAAATTGGAATGAAAATAGAAATGGAAATTGCCATGAAACTTCTAGAGAAAGATACTCATGAAAAACAGGATACTCTGGTAGCCCTTCGTCAACAGCTGGAGGAAGTTAAAGCTATCAATTTGCAGATGTTCCATAAATCTCAGGTAAATGCATGAAGTAATTGGAGAGGACTCTATTAACTATGTTTAAAACATTTTAAACATACACATTATATTATGCCTCTCAACAGTCCTATGAGATAGGATCACCACTTGCTTGTTTCATAGGTGGAAAAGTGAAGCTGAGAATAACTTGACTGAGGCCACCCACTGATTCTGTGGCTGAATAGAGTTTTGAACCCAAGTCACTCCAGTCCAAGTCCAACTATCTGTCTGTCTGCATCCTGCCATCTTGTTCAGAGGTTCCCTACTCTTTTGTTTAACTTAAATAATTGATCATCCTATTGGGCACTTTGCAGACTTTCCTGTCTCTTTATGAGCACCCAGCAGTAGAGATACACATGCTGGTCTTATGTGGTTTTCATGTGCTGGTGTACACAATTTGTTGCATATGAGCAACATTCACTCTTGTTCTTGATGGCCAGAGGAAGGAGAGTTGAAACCTGCTACCAAGATTCTAAAGGCTGCTTTCCACAATATGGTTAAAACAGCTGAATGCTCAAACTAAGTTATTTAGTCACTTGACAACTTGCTACAAAGATGCAAGCAGTTTCTAGGAAAAGTATGGATGTCTCTCTATCATCTTTCTTATTGTTTCTCCCCCCCCCCCAAGTCAGATTAAGATACTCTGTGCTGATTCTGCATTGAGCCAGGGGGCTGGGCTAGATGATGTCTCTCTATCATCTTTCTTATTGTTTTTCCCCCCCGGTCAGATTAAGATAGATACTCTGTGCTGATCCTGCATTGAGCCAGGGGGCTGGACTAGAGGGCTTGTGTGGCCCCCTTCCAACTCTTGTGATTCTATGATTCCAGTTCGTATAGCATACATGTTTACCTTTCTGCTTCTTGTTGAGATGACAGATAGTACTGAGTGTCAGTAAGATAACCCCAGTGATGTTTCCTTTGTTTCTCCATGCACCCTAAAACATGTTAAGTGGCCCATATGATGCCTCTTCCAGTCATATAGTCTGTCAGTCTGTAGACATGTGTTGGGCATGGATCCCATATTTCTTTGTATTTGTTTGTGTCTAATGTTTTGTGAGGCTTTTAACGTTTTATCTTAATTTAGGATTGAGTCCAGAGGTTATTTTCTGCTGACAGTAGGCACTTTTGTCAACGGAAGGGAAGCATTCTCTCTGCTTTCTCCCTCCCATGCAGCCCCCCATGCTGTTTCTGAGGGTCCCCTTCTCACCCACAAGAGTTCAGTGGGCTGCAGTGGGAGGGGGGTCTCTGTTCCATCATCGAAGCTCTCTCTGTATCTAGTAATTCCCTAGTTTGCTTTCTTGGGTAATTCTCTCAGGTAGTTTCTCATCCACTTCTTTGGGACCCTGAAGCCCCATGACAGTTCCTTACCACCAGTTTACTTGCTCTACCCTTTTGGAAGGGATGCATATGTATGCTCTGGCACTGGGGGGAAAATTGTTGGTAGGATAAGATCTAGAAAATCTTGTGATCTGTTTTGCTAAAGTGCAAATAAAATCTGTTCCAATTTGGTTTTTGAAGTCTAAAGACAGTAATGAGTTGAAGTGAGCGGCTTGAATGTTTTTCCTTCAGAATGCAGAAACTTCATTGCAACAGAAAAAAGAAGCAATATCCTCATTTGAAGACAAAACACATCAAATGATGTCTTCTGTGAAGCAAATGGAAGCCAGGTACATTGCTTCCAGTCTAAAACACTGTAAGATATGCTCAGAATAGAGAAACACCATGTGGTGCTCAGGGTGAAGAGTTTGGCGACCTTTGAGCTACAGTCTATATATATGATCCCTCCATCAGGCCTGCCTGCCTGCTTTGTTCTCTGTCAGTTTCCCAGTCATATGGGCACTGAAGAGATGGGACCAAGAGGTAGTTGATACAGATAAAGAAGGGAGGGGAATCTGGAAGGTTGGGCTGCTCTGAACCAGGACAAGAGAGACTGTCAGTTCAGGTGGGGCATTAATAAATTGCATTGTGTGTGGTTGGAGTTTGACTGATCCTAGTAAAGAGTGCACTTTGCTAAATCAGACAGATAATGATCCAAATCCACCAGCAGAAGAGGGGATAAATTTTCACGTATTCACCTTCTTGCTGCAGCCCACTGAACTTCCCAAAATATTACTCCTAAGGAGCAGTGGACTTTGAGGAACTGTTCGTGTGATAAAGAAGGAAAAATCGACAAAAATCTCCGCTCCTTTCTGCTGCTGGAACCACCCCAGCGTTTGTAACACACCTTTGTGGGAGAATACTGAGAAGGTTGACCTACTCTGCAGCAACTTTTTGTGCCTGATGACTATGAACAAAAGGAAGGGGGGGTTCAGAGGAAGTACTTGTGGGAACAGGAACTAGTATACTTCTTTGTAGCAGTCACAACTTATATATCTTATTTTGCTTTAGATTGCAACGTGCAGAAAAAGCCAGGCAGGATGCAGAAGAGAAGAATGTCAAGTTAAAACAAGAGATGAGTGGCAAAATTGAGTCTCTGAAACAACTACTAACCCAACTGGATAGCAAATGGTACATTTACATTCTGTAATGTTACAAGAATTGATGTGCTGGTCCTACTTTGACTCGTTTGTGGGTTTAGTATTAATAGAAACAGGGTGCCACTTGCAACTTAGAAACTTGTACAGAATCTATATTCACTTTGGTATGTGGCCGTTGTACTGAACAAACAAAATGAATTTATGCCAGAAACTGCTGAGGTGTGTGCTGCAGCTATTTGTAGTTTATTAGTTGGAAGGGATCTAGACATCTTTTTCAATCTTGCCCAACTTTCCCTCATTACTACAACCCACATGGCTTTTGTCTGTGCTGCTCCCATGATTCCCAGCACAGCCTTTTGGGGAGACTGAAGGGGACTCTTCATGCTTCACCAGCGGAAAAGCTGGTTGGATCCAGTCCTATAATTTCTGATTTCTAATCCATTTATCCATACTTTAACTAAATTGTGACGCTGTGGAGAAAGTACGCAAATTGTGGAGGACGCAGGGATGAAGAAGAGAAGCTTGTATTGTAGTTTGTATTGCAGAAAATGCTCCCTTGGTGACACAGGGGGCAAGTATGCTATTCATGTCCTTGTAGTGTCCTAGGATTTTTTTAGAATTTCCAATGAGGCGTCAGTACTGATGGAAAACCAACTTTGTTATTGTTAACAGTTCCACTCTTGAAAAAGAATTAAAATCTGAGAGAGAACAAAGACAGACTCTGCAACAAGAGTTGCATCAGGAGAAGGACACTACTGCCTTGCTGAAAACGGAACTGCAGCAAGTGGAAGGGCTGAAGAAGGTACATGGCTTGGAAAACAAATTTTATCTGGGAAACAGAAGTGGGAAATAACCAGGATTTTTTTTGGGGGGGTGTGTGTTCTTGTCTGTGTGCACATTTCAGCAATTAAGCAACAGTTGAATAATTCTGTCCTTCAAGGCTAAAGGCTTTATGATGATAAGTTACTGGTAAAGAAATACTCAGTTGCTAGTGATGAATTGTTAATAGCATTTTCTTTAAATATGAAGCAACCTGAAGCAACAAATAAATGAATGTGCTTAGTTCAAAGTCTTCAGAATCTTTTCTGGATGCTTTAATAAGTTTATTTTTAAAAACTTAAAAGGCTCTGTCAAATTCAAATATTAAATGGGCTGATCAGGAATTCCAAGCCTAGAATACCGTCAAATGAAATGACTGAGCAGGTGGATCAGGGCTCGCCACTGGTCTCTCACTAGTTCAGGGCTGCAACAAAGCTGTGCTGACAGGACAGGGCAATCCTGCTAATTCCTCCTTCCTACTGCAGACTCCCAACTTGCTATTCATGTTGTTCCAGTGACACAAGCTCCTTCTGTTAGAGGAAAACTTAGTTTGAATGCAACCTTTAGTCTGTAGGTGGCCTGGTTTTGTAGCTGTTGTGATTTGGCATGGGGACCAGCTACTTCATAACTGGATACAATGATGTAGTTGCCCTACTAAACAAGCAACTGCCTTTGGTGAGTCCTCTGAAATGCTCAAGAGCTTTCTGTCAATGCCCATCCATTGTTTACGAGCTCTAGCAGAAAGGCATTGTTTAATTGTAATGTAGGTAAATGATTCCGTCTCCCTGCCACAAGCAGCTCATGTTGTATAAGGCCTATTCAAAACAGAAGAGGAAGAAGAAATACGGCTGTCTAACAGAAACATACAGCATTTTATTTTTGTGGGCTTTCCTTTTAGGAGTTGCGAAAACTGCAAGAAGAGAAGCAGCAGCTTGAAAAGATCTGTGAAGAGCAGGAGCAAGCCCTTCAAGAAATGGGACTTCACCTTAGCCAGTAATTGTTTCAATAATTCCTGTCAAGATAGGGAAATCTCTCATTACTAAGGAAGTTGCATTATGGCAACAGTAATTTATATTAACAGTAAAGAAATCACAGACCAAGACATCAACACATTTTGGTAAACTTTAAGGATTCAATTTATGCTGGAGGGCCAACTGTGTTTGCTGCAGCTTCTCCAGTGTTTCCTGCAGTAAATGGGTCAAGTGTGAAGAGCAGACATGGAGCCCCTTAAACACACTGTGGATGACAATGAGGATTGCCGCATACGGTAGAATCTTTTCCAGTTAGTAAAACTGCTGCAGGGTGAACAAGAGATTCCAGAAATTACTGGAGTAATAGAAGCATGGATTGCGTACAAAGCACCTTTGGGTCCCCCTAAGTTTGGAATGTGTTTTATTCTATAAATATTTCAGATAGCTGAAATCTGAGTCTTGCATATAAATTAGCCTTAAACAAGCTTCTCTGTCTCTTACCTGCGATATGGAAATATTATTACTATGACCTAATAAGGATTGAGTCCCTTCTGCTAAGTGAGGAATCATCCATTGGAGATAAACTCTATTTTTTGGAGGAAGGACTTCTCCTGCCAGCAGAAGTGCTTTGAATCCCACACTTAATAGTAACACAGATGCCTTCCTTTTTCAGGTCCAAGCTTAAGATGGAAGATATTAAAGAAGTAAATAAAGCGTTAAAGGTATTCCAAATCTAAGTACCTATCTGCCGTTTTCTTTGCATCTTCCCCTTTAGCACACAACAGTTTGATTTACTGGAGGCTGCAATGTTATCGAGCTTGCCCTAAACTCCTCCAGCCTTCCAAATGTGAAACACCCTAAACTCCTCCAGCCTTCCAAATGTGGCACGCTCTAACAATCATTGAATGAACGTGGACTGTCCCTACCAGTTCTTTGACCACCCATGTTGGTCTGCAGTAGAACAGCTGCATTCCAGTCCAGGAGCACTTCAGAGACCAACAAGATGGGGACAGGGGGAATATGAGCTTTTGAGAGTCAAAGCTTCCTTTGTCAGATAACACCCCCCCCCCCCCAAACTTTCTTTCACATTTTGTTGGTCTTTAAGGCGCTACTGGACTAGAATCTAATGATTTGACGGTGAGCGAAATGACCCTGCCTGTGGCTGGCTTTGGGAGGCAGCTGGCCTAGATAGCCTTTTACTGCTGTGGTCAGGGCTTTTTTAAAAAAAAGAGGTGCTGGAACACTCAAAAGGGAAATGAAGTTTTCAATCTGTATACTGAAAACTCATGCACTTTGAAACCTTTTAAAAATAATTTTGTCAAAGCGGTTCCAGAACTCTGTTCTGGCATGTTCCCCCAGAAAAAAAGTCCTGGTTGTGGTACTGTATGTTTAAAGATGAATACTGAGGACAATTTTTTGTGTGTGTTTTGTTTAAAAATTAGGGCCATACCTGGCTAAAAGACGATGAAGCAACCCACTGCAAACAATGTGAGAAAGAGTTCTCTATTTCACGGAGAAAGGTAATATTGAAGGATCAAAGCCAGCTGTATTAAATAAAATAGTATACGTCAGTCTGCATAGCATAGTTTCAGCAAGGTTACTGGGGATGATGAACTGAAACGGAGTGTAGAAGTGCGAGCATCACCTTTCAGTCCTGATCCCTGATTTGTTAACTGGTAAAGTGCTTACCAGTAACTGCACAAATGCAGTATTGCAAATGTTGGGTTGGATCTAGCAATCAGCCAATGGAAGGTGCAGATGGATATGGATCTTTTCTCGTCCGCCCGTCCCCCCGGTAGTACATTTTGATCCCAAATCAGTTGATTCCCAGAGCAACAGAATCTGTGTGGATTAATAGACCCGTGAGAACACTGCAGGTGGAAGAAACTGGACAGGGACATTTTGCACCCCTTCCCTCTCCTTCGTGTGATGCCGACTCCCTCCCCCAACTCTCGTGGCTGTTAATGCACATGGCCTCTCGACTCCAGAAATCTACTTTCTTGGAGGGGTAAGGGTGGAGGTGGGAACGGGGAGAGATCTTGAGCCAAAGATCACTACTTCCAGTCCATGGTGTTATGCCAACATTGCAGGTGAGCGTGGCTGTCCAAAAGTAAATGAGATGATTAGGTGCCAGTCTTTCACTAGAGTTGAAGAGGAACAGTCATCTCAGGGAAGGCATTGAAAGCAGAAAGTGTTATTTTCTTTCTTTTGTTGAACAATTTAAAGTAAGCATAGCATTGGTTTTGTTTAAGCCTGTGCTTTGTAAACTGGCCCCAATTCTCTTTTCAGAGTTTCCCCTTCTCCCAGCTATCAGTAACCTAGTAGAGTCACTATCTCAGCTTGTCTTACCAGTCTAATCTTGTCCCCTCTGGAGACAATCAAAACTCCACCCACATGTCAACACTGCCCACTATGGGGTGTAAAGTTTGTGCAGGGTTTCCTAAGGTAAAACAGCCCTATTGTGTGGAATTGTCTTTGTCAGTAGCTGCCTGAATAGAAGTTCCACTTGACAGCACAGATTCATACATGACGTCTAGGACAACTTGAAGTGTCCCGTAACTCAGCGCTATCATGCTGAAATATTACCAGTGTGGTCCTTGTATGAGTTTATCATCATATTTAGAACTGTCCTTAGTAAACTATGGTGTTGGGCTCCAAATGTATTGAAGAAGTAGTTGTCATTGTGTGGCCATTCACATTGCTCAACAGGCACACTTTGGTTCCTAGTGTGGTGGTGATGGTACTGCTGCTGCTAGGGAACCTACAACAGTATACTAGGATGCAAACTGTAAGGCATTTACTCTGAAATAAATTTTATTGGAGTCCATGGACTGTGGCTTGTGGACTTTTGCAGGGACTTCATCTCTGGTTTCAATCTGTGACCTAAACTTTTTGTGCTTTTTTGTCCCCAGTGCCCTCATGCCCAGCAACCCCCGTCTAGAGACAGTCGGTTGTACTTGTCTCACTGAATTCTGTGAAACGTTAACACACCTAATTGACTTTGCTTGGGAAGGCACTTCTCACTTCTCTAGTTACGTACTCCTAATCCTCTTTGTAACTTCCTTGCAGCACCATTGTCGGAACTGTGGCCACATCTTTTGCAATAGTTGTTCCAGCAATGAACTTGCACTTCCATCCTATCCAAAGCCTGTACGAGTCTGTGACACTTGCCACACTTTACTGCTTCAGAGGTGTTCATCAAATGCTTCGTAAGACATCCATTTCTTTCAAGATAACCACAGAAGACTGGACAAACAGCCAAATGTTTAATGGGCTTTGGGGGAATCTAAATTTCACCTTTCTTTATGCATCAAACAGCTTTCCTATGGAACTGTTTGCTACATTACAATGGGACAAGGAAGATTTAATTTGTAAAAAAAAGATTATAGAAATTATGAAAATTAAATATTTTGCATAGATCAAGTGCCAGAGAAAAATGTTTTAACATAAAATGTGCTTAATGTGCTAGAAGTCTGAGGTGCTCAGTTACACTTCTAGCTTTGTTCAGTATGAAAGAACTATTTTGTTTCTATTTAACTTTGTACTTTACATTTGTACATTCAACCTCTAAAACAAAAATTACTTTTCTGAACACTAACCTTCTCATGGGTCTACCTGCTGTAACAGTTCCACTTGAAAATTCCTCTAGATTTTTATGTAGTAAGTGAAAATGTCTGTATCTTCAAGTTTGTCCCTATGAATGACATTTTTAAAGCAATGTATAATTGAATGTGCCTTCACTATACTTCAAAGTAAAATAATGTATAGATTCCTGTGTTTCTAAAGCACCTATAAAATACAGATGGTGCTTACAGAATAAAGATGGTTAAATAGAATTGATCTGCACCTTCATAAGTTGTTTCTAGAAAATAGTTATGCATAAGGAAAAACATATAGGTAAAACCTGCAGCTCTTTTTGCCTAAACACTAATACGAAAGCAAGTATAATACTGACTTATAAGTACACAGTCTTGCTAAACCAATAAGGACGGAGTCTGTAATAGAAGCAAACAAATATAAGCTGCCATCTCTTGAAACCAATGTACACCATATTCATAGAAGTGTGAAACAGGTTGTGTGATGGAGGGTTGCAATTCTTGCTCCGTTGTTTATAGTCTAGCACTAATACTGCAAGTATGCATGCTGCTTTTGAGAGCTATTGAAACCTGGGGGTAGTTGAAAACAGGGATTTGGGGAAAAGGAAGATGAAGTCAAGGCTTTGATACATTCATAGGCCGATGGTTATATCAGTAAACACAGAGAATAGACCAAAGGTTTAACAAGGAAATAGCAGTTGAATTTTCATCTGTTATGGTACTGAGACATCGAGATAAAGGTATCCAGTTGGACAAAAAGGGAAGGCTGGGATACAGAAGTATAATAGCTAGGTGTTCAAATGGTACTGAAAGCCACAGGACTTGGGCTCACTCCAGGTCTGTGTTAGCAACAGGATAGTAGCAGGCTAAGAACATAATCTCAAGGAATCCCAAGAGAGAATGGAAAAGCAGAGAGAACTTCCTCACTAGAAAGGCTGGACAATCCATCAGAGAATAATATGACCCAAGGTATAGAATGAGTCAAGATGATCAATAGTATAAAAGGCAACAGAACACTCAAGGGGGGGTGTGCTTTTTAGATTTTTGCAGTGAGATATGTGATTTGTTTAAAACATTTGTAGCATGCTGATGGGGGTTGAAAGTGAGTTGTGACTGTAAAAAGTTTGTTGCAGAAATTCAGGCAAAGGCAGATTATATAGCAGAGGGGCAGGAAAAGTGAGAATTGGGCAAAATGCTGGTATGTCGATGCAGTAGGAAAGGAGGCAGAACAATCAAGGTGAGGAAAACAGAATGGGGGACTTGTCACTAATGAGGACTTGTCACTAATGAGGTAAAGCCTTTTAAGTGGAGACTGAGAGGGTATCTCCCTCAAGACAAGCATGTTGAGGGGGAAGAGCTATCATTTGTGAGTGTTGTGAGGAAAGGTGTTGCAAAACTGGCTAGAGCCCATGATTCTTCAGTTTTGAGCATTTAAAAAAAATGTTATTTACTACTTTGTGTACTTTTCTTATGATGCAGGAGTTTAGGGTGTTCCCAGTACATTCAAATGCAGAACTGGTGTTCTAGTGGGCAGCATTGAAGCAGGGAAGAACAGACATGGTAGCTTAATTGAAATGAATTGGGTGGCTTATTGAGGCACAAAGAACGTGTATTAAACAAAAAAAACATTTAAGAGGAAAGGGAAAACAAAAGTGGTGCAAGAATGTCTAAGACAATATATGGCTGCAAGAAGTAACAGGAGAGATGAATATAGTTGTTATGGTTTGTTTTCAGATTTCTTGCGTTGCTTAATGGATGTTGCATCCTATTGATTGCAGTGACTTATACTGTGTAATCTGCCTTGTGTTTCAGTTAGAAAGGCAGACTATAAAGTAAAATAAAAATACTATTTGAACCATCCTTCGCTAAAAGGAGGTGAGTGCAGGGGAGAGAAAACCATGCCATTGAAAAGCCAATAAGAAGAATAGCAGGAAAAAAAAATGGTTACTTTCCTAAGGCTGTTAATTGACACTCAGCATTTGAAGCAGTTTTTCAGTTACCTTTCAGAAGACCAGGAGCCCTCTGTTCCAACAACAAAAAAATCAGTTCAGTAGGCCCACTCTCTTCTGGATTTTTTCTACCTTTTCTTTGCTCATGGTTGGCACCAGGCAGGTGGATATAATTTTTCTATGTGAAGTTTATCTTTAGACTTGGTTGTTTTCCCAAAAGAACAAAACCTTTGTTCCTCTAAACAAGTGCCACTTGCTTTACACTCTGGTTACTTGGCTTAAAAGGAAAAGGTAAAGGTTCCCTTGCTCGAAAGCCAGTCGAATCCGACTCTAGGGTTGCGGTGCTCATCTCCGTTTCAAAGCCGACGAGCCAGCGCTGTCCAAAGACGGTTCCGTGGTCATGTGGCCGGCATGACTAAACACCAAGGCGCACGGAACGCTGTTACCCTCCCACCGAAGTGGTCCCTATTTATCTACTTGCAATTTCTTGCTTTCGAACTGCTAGGGTGGCAGGAGCTGGAACTAGAGACAGGAGCTCACTCTGTCTTGCGGCACCCGGGTCTTGAACCGCTGAACTCCTGACCTGCCACAGCCTGCAGTTCAGCGTCTTAACCACTTGAGCCACCGCAGCTTAGCTTAGGTCCACAGTATTGTTAGGGCTGTGCCATCTGTCCATTTCTTGCTTCCAGGGTTGTTCATGACAGCCTGACAACCGGGCCTTTGCTTGTTCTTTACCCTGTTCATCACACACCAGTGGATTCTAGGGGTTCTTCAAGGTGCCTGTTTCAGTACAAGTCTTTTAGGAAGACTATTGCTTTTAACTGTATAAGCAGACACATAGTTCTTCTGGCCAAACCTTTGCCTTTTGTAGCTCAATTGCAGGCATTCTGAATGAAGCATCATGATTCTCCTGCCCTTTCTGCCTGCTTCAACCCTGCCATCTCAGTAGCACCCAGTAATTTGCCAGTGACAACTTTAGTCCATGCTAGGCATCTTCTGAAGGGAGCACCGTTCTTGACTCCTGAAAATACTCACAGAATCACTTGGAATGGAGTTTTAAAAGACCAAGTAACTTGGTGCTTCTTCATTGCAATGCTATGCTTTGTGAAGCTAACCTATTAAAATCATGTTTCAAAAGGTAATTTCAGGCCAAAACCTGCTTAGAGCTCTAAGGAGTTGTCAGCAAGCCTCTCCTCAGTCCTCACAGGTAATTTTGGCTAATTTTCCTCAGAATTACTGTAGTGCCCATTGATCTCAACTATTTCTCAGTCAATACTTAAAAGCAGTGTTTTTCAGAACAGTTACACAGAGCCAGGATTTTTCCACTAAGCAAAATCTAGTTTATTCATAATGGCAAGGGCTTAAACCAACCCAATCTTAAAATGATTTAAATACTATGTGCATGACTGTCTTGGGTTCACATGGTCAGATTAACCTAAACTACTCTTCCATCACGCAGGTTTCCTTGCCTCCCCAATCCCCAAACCCATAGCATGGGGTTGGGGTTAAAAAAATACTTTTCTCCAGTTAATGGGTCGTTTTGAGAAAAGGACGTCTATGGCCAGAAATTTCTAACCAAGGAACAACACTTCTCACTTCTTCCATGTTGCAGCCCCAAGTGCCCTTGAAATTCTATTCCTGGGCATAAGGGGGACCTTCCCCACCCCAGAACAGGAGGAATGGGGAAGCCTGTGAGAAGGCAGAATTGGTAAAAACTGTCTCCACCTTCTGCCCATGGAAATCCTCCATGAGATTCAAGGCATGTCAAATAGAAGGGTACTTTGTGACTTAAAGTAAACTGGATCTAGATACTCCTGCAAAATCTTCTGGTGGGAAGATATTAGATCTGTCTCGGGGTATGCCAGGTGAACCTGCGGAACATGCTGTAGCTGTATTTCACTGAACTATCTAAACACAATTCTATATTATGTTGTTCTACCACAATCCTTTTTGAGGAAGTGAATGTTATGCTTCAGGGTCTCTACTGTCAGTTCAATTAAAAGGCAGTTATTTCCTCAAATGTGAAGAGGTGTGTGTATGCATGTATATATGAATTCACCAAGTCACATATGGATATTTGTGGTAATAGTATGCACGTCTGCTGAATTTCTTCTCCCCCCCCCCAGTCACACTGCTCAGCAGTAAGTACATTTAATATTTATAACCTGCTTTTCTTTTCATTAGTCAGATTAGCTTCCTAAGCAGTTGAATATTTTTATTTGGCTTCTAGCTGTCCCCAGCAGGCTCGGGGCAGGTTACAACAGTATATAAACAACATAAGACAACCAATTAAACTGTTTAAAATCAGTTCTCAATTTAAACCCATAAAGTTATCCAATACACAGTGACAATTATTTGATCCAATTGATGCTGCCATTCTGCCTCTCCCCCCATTCTGACAGGAACAGAGGCCTGGCTTCCTCAGACCAAGCTGTAGGCTAGTGACGAGCACCCTCCTAACAGCAACAAAGAAGGGGGGAGGGGAGAGAGAAGGATGAGATTGATTAAATGTTACTCTGCTGAAGCTGCTTAAGTTTTTAAAGGCCAACATCTTATATTTATCAATTGGCCACCGCTATGCACAAAGGGGTTATCCTCCCATCAAACACTCACTGTTATAAAAACGAAAGGCTGACGGCTTGACCTTGTGAAACTATCCTTATAAAATTTATTTATTTACTTAATTACATTTATACCCCGCCCTCCCCACAAGCGGGCTCAGGGCGCTGAAGGTCCTGCAGCCTGACCGGTATTTGAGGCTGGGAATAAGCAATTTTACCAAATGCCAGGTCTGAAGAAAGGGTATGGGGAGTGAAACAGCACCAATAAGAGTATTTTCATGCATACTCTCTGAAATAGTTCCCTGGTTTTTTAAACTGCCCCTGCAATATGTGGATGCTAAGCTAAAGCAGTGGCCCTTATTCTGCTGTCATAAAGGGGCCTCAATCTGGGTGCTGCTAAACTCAACAGAATTAAAATTGTTAGCATGGTCAACCATTCTATGTTTAGCAAAACCTGCTGTTGTCAACTGATTTCGCATTAACACTGCAGAATTTAGTTTCCAATGGGAATTAAGACTAGCCTTCTATTAAAGTCCAGTCAAATTAAACTGGATACATGTGTGTGTAAATCTTCAACAGAAAATAAATCCCATGGAGTATTTTTATTAGGACCAGTGAAAGGACAAGTTCTCCAGAAGTCTTATATCTCCCCCATCCCTTTTCACTTTAAAACACC